CTGGCAAACAAAAGGAGAGAAACAAACAAATAAATCGCTGGCACTTAATTAAAGGCAGCTTGCATGAATTATTTTCATTGCTAATGTAACAGTATTAGTGTAAGCACTGTATCAAAAAATAATTCATTTAAAACACTTAAAATCCATGAAGGAAGGAGATAAATGAGATTTACCGTGAACATATTTTTAAACTATTTTCTAACAGAATTTTCATGCATACGATTAATCTTGGAAAATAAACTGCACCAGCAATTGTATTAATGCTATTTAAGCAATCTGATCTCAATCACATCTAAATATATAACATTCAGGTGCTCAGACCAAAGCATTATTCTAAGTCAAAACACAGATCTTTTCCTTCCCAACTTTCCCTAAAGTTATGACACCTCACAAAGAATCAGTAACCTAGATACTCCCAGTAGCTCTGCCTAAGTTCTTGAATAAACTAAAGCTACAAAGCATTCATTTAAAAATCTACCTTAAAGCTTTATATAGCACTGTGCCAGACAGCAAGCTAAAATGAATCAGTAAATGAACAGGTTTGGGTTTTTTTCCTGGGATGTACTTTTACTAGCTGGTAGGTGCCATAGAGGTCATTTTTCTCAGTTTATCCTGAAGGTGAAACACAAATAGCTGAGCTTTCAATCTCAGAAAGGCAAATATAACATATATGGAGATTACATTTCTCCTAAAATCTTACACACTTAAACATGTACACAGACCTTACACCAGAGGTGTAAGGAGTTTAAAGCTATAAAAAAGCCAAAAATTATCTGTTTAGAGGTGTATGGAGTTAGAGTTATGTCGCAGATATCTTCCATGAAAAATCCTTTCTTAGGATTTTTCCTTGTGAGAAGCTGCAGTTTTAGCAACCAAAAGTAAACAATGGTTATCTGCTGCTGTGGAATGCAACAGGTAGACCTGGGATTGGTCTCCTGTGGATGCTTGGATTTACTGACCACTTATGGCAGAGCTGGCTCTTGCTCTGTCTGAGACACAGATCTTTGTTATTCATTCTTGTCTATTCTTAGCTTAGCTAGCTTCTGAAGAAACCTTTTCCTTTCTATTTCTTTTTAGTATAGTCTTAATGTAACATATATCATAAAATAATAAATCAAGCCTTCTGATCATAGAGTCAACATTCTCCTCTCTTCTTCATCCTGAAAACCCTTGTGACCACGGTCACAGAGCTATAAAAAGGCAAAAATTTTCAGTTTTATTAATAATAAATTAGTAAAATCCCAATGAAAACCTGCAGGTTTTATGAAGTAGAAGAATGAAGGTGTGAAAACCTGAGGATATCAAATTTCATCCTTCTTGGGAATAAAAATCTCCAGGACAGAGCCGCACACAAGTGTGATACCATCACAAAAAGCCCAAACCAGATGCATAAATGTATAGATCAATGGAATAACAGTGTGAATATAAGAGACCAGTGCATAACAGAACATGCAAGAAACAGGTGTGAGGACAAGTTTTTTGAGAGATCCTTGGGTGTATTTGTCTTCTGTTGTAGCCTATACCCTAACTTTGATCCTGGATATTCAAAATGCTTCTCCGTAGGTAACAGAGTAAATTCAGAGACTGCTGCAAAATACATCAGATAAGGCACCAGACAATGATTGCATTTTGCTTTTACTTTGCTTTGCAATAAGAACATTGGGAATTATTAGTCTATTTACTTGAAGTGCTTTCTCTCAGATTTGATGAAGAATTCTTGATGGGTTTCTGGTGGTTTTTTTTTTGTTTGTGGTGGGGTTTTTTTTGGCATTAGCCAAATAATACTAGAATACAATGCAAGAAACCCAAAAGGACTGTATCAATCATGCTCTCCTTACAGCCCAAAGCAAGATTCAGTTATACAGTAACGCATCCTGGACCCTCACACGTTTCAGTAGTGAGCACTTTGGCCCATGCTGCATAAAGGATGCACAAACAATGCATTTTCTGGGGTTTCAATACACTCAAAGAAGTAGCTTGCATGTCATCTAATGAATATTTAACGAAAGCATAAAATGCTCAAGCACAAATCTATTTGCTATGGGTGCTTGCTGCACAGGCATATTAAAGCAGCATCAATACCTACAATGGAGAGATGATAAAACAGATGCAGCAACCTGGCATTTGTAGTTTTGTCCCAGGTATTTAATGACTGTACCACAAAAAAAATGAAGCACATAAATGAATCAACATGAAAAAGATTTGTGTACACATATTATGCACTGCAAACTACTTCTGAGCATTCAGACATAAAAATGTATGGAACTTAAGTACATGCCAGGCCCTTTTGAAATAAATTATTCCTAAACAAGGACTTGAAAAAAATCAAGCAGTTAATCCAAGAAAAAATTTGAGTAATTCTTCAAGCAATACCCCGGCAATACCCACTGTTAATTTTTGAATCCCCTCTCATTCCTTTCAGCTTCAAAATATAGTCCATGATACTCAATATCATGAAATTAAAAAATTTGAGCAAATTAGTTTTATTTGCATCATTTAATTACACAATTATTTGATTTATATCAAACTAGCATTCACTTGTTTAAAAACTAAATTTCACTTGAAAACAACAAAAAAATAAAATTCAGCTTAGCATTTTACTTCAGAAGAAACATTTTGGTGAAAAAACATTTTAGTGAACACTGGATAAAGACACTAACTGCATGCTTTTTCTACCAAACTATCTTTTCTGCTCACCTGACAAACCAAAAATACCCATTATTTGCTATTTTTATGCTGTTTCCATGCCATGAATTCAATCATCTTCTATGGCAATATTCTAGTTTGACCAAACTGCAAATATTACATAATATTTGAAGCAGGGGAGAGAATACCAATAAAATACCTCCACATTTCTCCAATCTCCAGACTAATTGATTCCTCACAAAAAATTAAACTTCCCTCTTATGCTCACTTGGATGAAACCTCAGGCATATTTGCCCTCAACCATTGGAGTTGCAGTGGCTAATCATTTCCTAAACAATTGAACAATTGATGTTTAGGAAATGATTGGGCACTGCAACTCCAAATGTGCCTTGCCATGCCCAGCTCTGAAATGGGAAGACAGGAGGTAAAAACACCCAGGGGTTTGCCACAGGCCAGCAAAGATTCAAGAAAACCAAAAGGAAATCAGCTTGCAAATCTTTTTTGTGCTTTGTCACTGAAAACCAGACTTTTTAGCACGCTGGGCAGAAGGCACGTAAGTCAAAATGTTTCAGCACAGGACAGAAAAGCCAACTAAACAACATGGGTAATCACCACTGTATCAACTTCTTAATTTCAAAAAAGATGTGCTATTTTACTCTTGATAGGAATGTATGTATTTAGAATGGCCATTAAAAAATATCCATAAAACATTCAAATGTTTTACTTAAAAAAAAACCCACTCAATCTGTTGCTACATTTCACACCACAAATTTTGTTGATCCTTTAAGCAAATTAAGAACAGACTTCATTAAAAACCAGTTGTGTAAACTGCTGGTTGTTTGTTTATTTTTTCAAATTATCACTTAATGACACTTAGAGAAACCATTAAAAATGCATAGCAGTCATTCTAGCCAGTATGAAGTGTCACACTTCATTTAATGATTAAAATGTAATTACCTGCATAGAAAAGCACAAGATAATATGAACACCATAAAGGAGTTTAACATGGTTTTATTCTGAATTTTGAGTACTGTAAAATGTAGTATATTATGGCAGTGAAACTCCAGGAGATGGGCAAATATAGAATGGCACAATTTGTTTGTGTCACAGAAAGAACTCAAACAAGAGAAGCACTCTATTAAAGCACCTGTTGCTGCAGGAAGGGTTTGTTTCTTTGCCCCACTGAAGTCAACAACAGTTTTATTATTCAAATCTTTGGAAGTTCATTGAACTTCCAGTCTGATAAAAAACATGGAAGCAATAGTTCCATGAGCCTGAGCAGATTTTACAGTCCTGCATAAGCACTATGCTAAGCTTTATAGCACATCCACCCATCCCACCTGCACTATTACATCATAAACTAGGTCTGGCTGCATCCATAATAATTTCATCATGTGCACATGCCTGATTTAGATCACATACATAGGATTAGATGCTTTGATCTTATTAAGTAATAACAATAATGAAACCATAGACAAGAGAAATAAAATTGAAGCAAGAGTAAATCAAATCTGTTTATTCATAGCTGCAATGTTCCTTTGCATACAAAGAACCCAAAAGTTTATTACCTAAACCCTAACAACCAATGTGACAATGCCTATGTTGTCACATAGGTTGTTGGGGTTTAGCTAATAAACTTTTGTTTATGTGTTACACAACAAAACCTGGTAGAGTGCTGTCAATTTATCTGTCTGCCAAAATAATTACTGTGAAAGAGAAAATAAGCTGACACCAGAGATACTCTACTTCTAAGAACCAAGTTACTTCTATACACTCTTCAAAACATTAAATGTGTTCTGAATAAATAAATTATACCAAACCAGAGTCTAGTATGTTCCCAGATGTACTGTTCAGTGCTCCATTTCACAACAATTTACAATTCAAACATTTATCTGCTACACCATCAACTTATAAAGTCTTTCTGAAAAAGTAATGCAACTTTGGAAAACTACACTAAAAGAGCACGTAGACAAAACCATTAACAAGAATGACTGATACAATAAAACCAGACAGCCTGAACTGCTACTTCTGTGGAAACTTTTCAGTAATAGCAGACTAATGGCTTGCTAGTCCATACAAAGGGAATACTCTCCACCTGAGGTGTGCTCTCTAGAACCTGAAATGGTTTCAGGATGCATGATGCACAAGGTTTCTCAGCACACTGCTCTTTTAGGAAGCCAGCCTTTACCTTTCCATTGATACATCACTCACTGGATCTTAAGATGAAAAATTACAAAGACTATAAAGTAGCTCTCTATATGTTATACTGAATTTGACCGTTTTGTTTCCCAATCACATAAGCATGACCAGATTGCATCTAGAAATCAAACACAGGCACTCAAAGAAGGAACCAA